ATATAAGCAAAACAAAATTAGGATTCATTAACTTGAATTACCGTTGCTATATAAGACCCATTGAAATTCCACCTCATTTTCAACACGGTTACTAAGTAAGATTTAGTTATAAGTTGATATTCCCAATCACCTGACACAAGAGGTCACATCACACAGACACGATCCTTATAACCGAAGTTTAAAAAAATCCAAAAATGCGTTTTCCACATTCTTCAGGTTTTCGCGAAAGCTTACACTAAACCGATGTGACAACGAGGTAACAATCTTGATTCAATTTCCATAACTTTCTCGACGCGAGCATTAATGGCAGAAGCGTGTCCGGGCACCCTGGGGTGGCCGGAATGTCTCGTGACATGGTTCCGATTCACACTTCCGGGCTTTCTCCGCTGGGGGTCGCCGAAACTAAAAGGTTCGGACGCCCGCATTCAAATTTCTGGAGCGATCGTGCTTCTTCCAGGCAGCAGGATGGAAATCCCGTAGTTGCCCATTTTTTTCTCTCTTGAAGCGTCCGTGCCATGGCAGTGGTCACGCGAATGGACGCCTACTGACCAGAGAAAGGAGAAAGTCGGAGTACCAATGAGGTCACGAAACAGTTGTTGGTCGCTCCGGGTGACACCATAAACGACTAATTAAAACTATTTTGTAAATTCGTTTTTACCAAGAGGAAACTCCATACGGACACAACCATCTGTTTTTTTTTTTATTTTTATGTCTGCCTATTTTAAGTAGCTGCGCAATAGACCAGCACCAAAAATTGTTTTTAATGTTTCTGGCCATTATGAATCATGGTCAAATAGCAAGGGTGATTCTAGGATTGGATCGCTCCTTCTACAAGTTTTCAGTTATATTTCCATTGAATTAAACATTTCGCTGAAAAACTTTTAGATAAGATTTCTCGTGCAACCTTCAGCCGTAACACAAAGATCTCTTATATATATATATATATGTTAGATATATTTAATAGATATATATATCTTATAGATATCTGGTGTGGATGATTGCTGTTATGGCTTATCTTGCCGATATCCATAACATCAATAAAAATTGTAATGGTCTCTTAAACGACTTTTCACCGAAGAAATTTATACTTATGGAAAGTCTTGTATACTATAATGGGCACGAGTTCAGTGAACTTGTGGTCATTTAAGGCTATTTTCAAGCACCGTAAAATGGCCTCGGCAACCTACTGATTATGGTCACGAACTCATGGTAGGCGTATCATGAGTTTGAGCCCTAGGGCCACTAAAGACCCACCGTGTAGAAGGGCCCGTTGAATCTGCCGGGGCTCAAAGTTCTCTCGTTCGCGTAGTGTGGTAGTTAAAAGAGTTCCAGCTCAGGTCCTAAGTCCTCTTCACTTGATTGAGATTTAAAATGACGAGGTCCGTCGTCTCATTCACACACTCACTCCGATATTAAACGAGACTTCTTGAAGCTGTTCCTTGACTGCAACAATTCGCGATAACTGTCTATCTTCAACTGGGACAAAATACACAAATTTTGAATCGATTCATCAGCGACTTTCTAGTTAAATCCTAGGCCATCTGATTTCTCCCTCGGAGTTAAAAAATTTCTCACATTGCAGATACTGCGTGTGAAGGATATTCTAAAAATAAATTAAGTCTAAAAAAGAGTTCTTCTTTCACAGGAAAGTTGCTTTTCCAAAATGAAAAAATACTTTTCCATAACAAGAAAAAAATCTGTCACGTGTGAAGGTAGAGGAGCGCATGCGTGGAGTGCAAAAATAAAGATCTAAGCAGCATACAGCAGTGTTCGATTCCAATCCAATACAAACAGCATCGCAGAAAGCAAAACCAAGTCGAATATTCGAAAAAAAGTAACCTAGGTACTGAGTCAAGGAGAGAGTTTTGTTCTTGAATAACAATGCAAGGTCCCTCACAATGAGGTATTTCGCACATTCTTCGTCTAGGATGGGAGACGTTGAATCACTCAGTCTTCAGCCCGGATCTTGCGCCATCAGACATTCATTTGCGTCAGGACGTCACTTAAAAAGATAACGAAGAGACCTTCCTGAAATCGCTGCGAAATGATTTTTGTCAGGTTTTCCTGAAACTAATTCCACGACTCCACAAACCTATTAATTTATGGGGCGGGAATATAATAAAAAGAGCTTTTGTTCTGTCATGACACTGAGTTTTTGTATTTGTTACTCAGCTTCACTATGAAAAACACAACTGTTAAAAATTATTTTCTGAATAACTCCCGTATATTATTGCAGAGTAAGCGTAACATCAAAACAAGTTCTTGTACATCTACAATTTGTCAGCTGGGTGGCGTAATTTGTTTCTCGCTGACCTTGTACGCCCACGTTGGTGGGTTTGAATCCGACCCAAGTTGGTAGGTTTTTATGATGCAGAAAATCGACAACATCTATGTCGTATGTTTATACGGCGTGTTAAAGATCCCTAGAGTGCCTGCTTGACTTGGCTGCTCTCGGCAAAATTAAAAATCCCTAGTACGATTTCACATCCTCGGAGCTCAGGTGCCTTCCTCTGGGGAGGAAACCAATCAGTATCTGCCTATATGGTTTCACACTAAAAATAGATGCCGGGCCCTGCAAGGGTAAAATACCAAACCGAAGATTCATGTGAAAAAATATATATGTACAGTTCAATTAGAATACGTAATTTTTCTAACTGCTTGCTACTTTTATACCCTAAGACTGGATAACAGAATAGTCAAGTATATTGATTTCAGAGACTCACTAACTAGACAATAGTTATGAACAATAGTGCGTGCGTCTAAAACAGTAAGTGAATATTTCAAAATTATATTAACTTAAAACTTCATATTTGTCATATAAACACAGTGTTGAGTATTAACTGGGAATTATTATCGATAAAATAATACAGTCAAAATCGTTCAACACGGAAATGAAGGGACTGAAATATATTTTTTCGTGTTAAAGAATATTGCCGGAAAAAAACATACATTCAACAAACAGTAATTTTATAAGAGAACGTTTTATTTACATAGGTATGTGTATATGCATGTATTTAATAAAAATCAATTAAACAAAAAACAATCTCTCAATAAAATTTGATACAAAATTTAGCAATACCAAAATCTGTACAGATTTCCGTTTTCGTCTGTTTTTGATCAACAGCCTTAAGAAACTCTATCTTCATTTCACTTTAAATGGAAATAGCCGCTTACCTTCCACCTGAGGTGCTCGTCACTGAGCTCGTAAAAAAAATATTCTAAAATAGGGGGGGGGGGGAACGCGAGCCAAAAACTCACCGATTTTACTCACAATGGATGTACTCGCCAACAAATTCCAAAGCAAACTGATCAGATCTTTTTGTGTGGCGTTTGGTAAGGGGGAATGAGCATAGATAAAGAAAATTGGCTCCTGTCACAAGCTATTCCGAGGGCATTTCGAAGATAAGTTAGCCTCTTTTTTCTACGAAACACATATGAAACCACCTCCCTTTCATTTCACACTCCTCTTAAATCTCGCCTTCGTGGATGGTGATTTCCATAATTTGTTCATTCCCAGAAGGAAAATATTTTCGTGTTAAGCGATTTTCGTTCCGTGTTAAAAAATACATGAAAATACATAGTATTTTATGACGACTGTTGTATTATTTTGTGTTAACCGATATTTCGTTTTAAGCGGTTTCGTGTAAAACGTATTTCACTGTATGTTTTTTATTTAACGCGTTCGCTGCCACTGACACATAGCCCTACCTAGTATGCCGGCGTCACTCTGGGACGATGATCGACTATGATAAGTTATATGCTTTATTTTTAATGCGAATTTGGATGTTGAACGAAGAGGTTTTTGAGGCATGTCAGTGAAGTATTATTTTTATATTTTATGTGCTTGGTTTTTACATTTTGTGTTTAAACTTTTACATCCGTTTTAAAATGGTGGGCATCATAAGTATTGCATGGCCTTCCCAGCCTGAAATAGGAAAGTAAATGAAAAATTGACTGAAGCGGAAATATTACATATATATTTTTTACATTAAACATGAAAATATTTTTAAAAGGTTTTCCGTTTTTCCGGTTTTACTACTGAAATATAAGGAATGTTTTCAATCATTAAAACTCTATTTTGTAATTAGGCTTCTGAGGATGGATATATCAACTTTTTCTGGCAGCGAATGTGTTGACAAAAAGAAATTTATTTACTTATAGTGTCTTGTAACCATACTTTTTGACTCTCAATATCTAATTATTTATATTAATTGATATTTATTAAACTATGAGCATAATTACTGCGTGTGTTCTTTTGAAGTATATTTTTGATTAATCGTATTTCATTGTGTATGCTATTACAGACACATTTTACTATCATTTATTAAAACTGTAACGCATCCGAAATTAAATATGGTAAAGTCGTCGTTAATCAGAAAAAACACGAAAATATATTACTTATATATATTTTCTATTCAAACTCATACTTTGTAAATGATTGTTTTACCTTGAAAAAACTTTTAAATGATGAAATTTATCAAAAGCTGATTTCCTCAAAACAACATGTCAGGATTTTAATGTCAGTTTCACACTTAGCTACATTATATTACTATTTACAAGGGATTTTTAAAAAAAACTACTCGCCAACGGCTGCAGAGTAATTGATAAATTCCATTTGAAGATTTTTTTGTATAAATAACAAAGGACATTATCGCCCTCACAACTTTTAAGTATATTTATTAAAAATCACTAAAAAGGAGCGACAAAACAGCCAAAAACAATCATTGAAAGTTTTAATGAAACCTACAGAACATGTAACAGAAGTAATATAACAAAAAAGGTAAGTCAATTCCTAACTAGGTCAACAAAGGAAAAATTTACATTTTAGATACTTTTTATTAAATCATTCCAATTACTATAAATATGCATATACATATGACAAAATCATAATATTAAGTAGCAAAACAGAAAGGGCGATTTTCCTTTCTATATATGGTGTTGGAGTATTATCTTTTATGTTCTATTTATTTATTCATAAATCACATTCTCAGAAATTAGGCCATTCCAGGTGGGATTCGAACCCACGACCTTTAGATTAAAAGTTTAACACGTTATCTTTGCGCTACAGGGACACAACGAGTGATTTTCCTTTTTATATAGGGTGTAAGACTATTACTTTTGTTTGTTATTATGTATTCATTAATATTTAAAAAACTGTATTAACATAAAGTGTCATCCAATACAAGTTTAAAAAAATGTATTTGAAATTGAGTGGATGAATATAAATGATTTTATTAACGATAGAAAATTTGAACAATATATATACGTGTATATAGATATGAATAAATATATAGGGAGAGGTGAACCTATAGTAGGAATTGAAAAATAACTTTCAGTTCAATTGAAAGACAGAGAGCGAAAAAAAGTGTCATCGAGACATTGGAAGGTTGGTTCTCTTTTCTCTGAGCGGGAGGCACACATCTCTCTCCGATAGCAAGGATTAAAATTAAGGGGGGGGGGAATCGAGAACAAATTTCGGAAGTAAATAAGGAAAAAAATGTTTTCATTCTGTTCAAACGAAAAAGAATAAATCATGGTTGCACTATATGTACTTTTTAAAAAATTTTCTGAGATATATATCCTTTATTTTCACTTGCGCCACTTTAGTGGAAGGAATCAGAATCCTTTATTATCCCATGAACATTTTATCCAACAAAGTGAAGGTCAATAAGGCTACTTTAGATTCTTCCTCTGATAAAACCATCTTCACATAGAGTATTTTAATTGTGGTCTTCGTTTAGAAATAAGCTGGTTAGAGTTATATTAACTTCGCCCACTCTAAAGCTGCATGAGGGCTAATGGAGACGGAACTCTTCATTTTGAACGATGAGCAAGTGACACCTGAGCTGCCAACATCCGCACCCCATCAACGGGAGGACGCTTAAGCCTTGACAGATTTAAAGTGCTTCGGTCCCTCGGCACAAGGGTCAAACTCATGACACGCCAGCCATGATTCCATCACCCGTCCATGACTTTGACCACCTCAAGACCACAAAGAGGTGATAGCGCGACGAGGCTGACCCCACTTGAATCGGTAACTCACTCTCCTTATTTTCACGTTTGTCCATATCAGAGCTTTGAAACTCGACAGATTTAACATGCGCTTAACGTAACGCCCTTCGGAACGCAGGGCCATACAATTTATTCCATAACTGCATTGTTTTGGAAAACTGTGCAAGCACCGTTAAAAAAATCAATATCTACAAAGAATACATTTTCGTTTCATTTCAACACATTTTTCATGAAGCTATTTACTCACTACGTTCTTATACATTTGTGAAATAAATAAATAAAAATGACAGGAATTATTGGTTTTGCGTAAAATGATTAATAAGAACAGAAAGTTATTCTAGGATATACCGGAAAGGGTGTCAGTGGAGAAAGGAAAATTTTCAAGGGGATTTCGGGGTCTTAAATTCTTCACTTACATAATAGGAGTAAGCCCCAAGAGATATATTTATAAGAAAAATTGTAGTTGTGAAGATCCATTTAATGAAGATAAGCTTTAGCAAATATATACATATATATAAGTGTCAGTTTTGATAATCTGTTATGTTTAAGCAGGGGTTTTAATTTTTTTTTGTTCCACAATCACTTTTTCAGAATATCGAAACACAATCCCTCCTCTTCCCCTTCCCGAGACACATTAAGTCTATTCTCATCAAATTATATTTCTTCATTTATCTTTCACTATATGTTGATATTTCGAAACTGAAGTAATTAATGACTTATTAATGTCGTTCTTTGAACGAATATAAAGGTTATTGGGCATAAACCACATAATTTTGTGTCACGGTCAGGTGATGAGAAAGAGACACCTCTCCAAACTTATATTCAAAAGCGATCAATATTTGAGAGATCTCTTACGAAAAGATTCCTTTTGACATGCCAAATGTAGTTTAAAATAATAAGATGTACAGCCCTTTATAATTCGCGGTATTACAATGAAATTCTCCAACCTAACCCTGCCATATACCAAGGGAAAAAAGCGAAGTCTGCTGAGATAAAGCAAAGTAAAATAAAAAACTATGCTCAATATCCGTTTGTATTAAAATAAGTTTATTATATATTGATATTACTGCATTAGAAATTTAAACAGTATCTCTCCTATATCTTTAAAAAAAATTATTTATTCTTATTTATAAGAGGTCGATGATTTTTAATTGTAAGGGGGCTCCTGCTCCTCACACACTTCACCATCCTGTTTGAGGGATGGAACAGCTATAAATTCATTCAGAAATATATATAACAAACCACATGGAATACGATCTCAGATGTGAAGTCATAAGTCAAATTATCTTTCATCCCATCCTACCCAAAACAGGGGGGAAAACTATATGGTCCTTTATTTTTGTCCTATTAAAAATGATCGTGTCTGGCGCATATTTCAAGGACACCTCCTGATATCGGAGACCCCCTGATTAAAAATCCACTGCCTGCGAAGAAGTACGGGGGTGGGGCAAGGGACAGCCCTTGACCTTCCGACGGCACGTCGAAGTCTGTGGAACCATTTGTCAAAGTAGATTACTCGGCGAGAGAGAGAATAGATCCCGCCGAAGAATGCTTGCCCTTCTTTTTTCTTCGCTCCTATTATCGTTAATTACTGGGACGTTCCGTGAACTCTCCCTCCCTACCCCGAGACATCGATAAAATCGTCAAAGGGTTTTATTGATAAAAGATCATAGATGGGCGGTCTCCACCTATCAGGAACGAGAGCCGCGGAAACTTAAATTTATTTGATGGATTTCACTTTCCCTATTTTAGAGGCTGTGGTAGCCGATTGATCATGGTCACGAACTTGTAGCCTCCGCTGTCGAATCAAAGGTTCGAGTCCTGATGCCACTGAGAGCCACCGTGCAGTGGAGCTGACGCACGTTTAATCTATCGCGATTCAAAGTCCTCCCTTTGTCGTAATGTGGAAGTTCGAAGAGGGGTGTGCCAGCTCAGGTGTCATCTTCCTCACTTGTCCACGATTCAAAACAACGAGGTCCGTCGTCAATAATCCTCGTGTAGTCGTATAGTGCCACGTTAATAAAACTCCTGCTCAATCGCGTTAATAATCTCGTTTTAGTTTTGAAAGAATCATTCTTTATTAACGTCCCACTCAGAAGTTACACGAGGGCTAGTGGTGACGGATCTCGTAATTTTGAACTAGTAACAAGACGAAGTCTGAACTCTGCACTTCATTTCCCAAACTTCTAAACCCCGCCAACGTGAAGTCAATCTTCGACACGTTAAATGCACGTAGTCCCCTTTACATGAAGGACCTTTAGCGATTCTAGGACTCGAACCTACAACTCCACAGAAGTAACACCCCTCCACACTCCACAGAAGTAGAAGGTTTGCTAGCAAGACCATTTGGTGTTCACCCCTTTTTAGTTTTACCCAGTTTTAATTAGTGTCGTACTCCATGTGTCTAAGCAAGTGAGTGAATGTATAGTATCGTCACACTCTAAAGCAATGTGGCTGCTATTGGTGACGGATCTCGTAATCTTGAACCATGGCCAAGTGACGAGGACGACATCTGAGCTCACGCTCCCCTCTCCGAACTCTGCCAACGGGATTACACTGAGCCCTGATACATTTACGTACATCAGTCGTTCTATACGGTGGGTTTTCTGTGGCATGGAGTTCGTGTCTATAACCGTTAGGTTACTGCGGCCACTGTCATATGCCCCCAAAAGATATGGATCCCCAATTGCAAACCCTAGGAATGAGTGACATTAACGTCCCACTGTTCATGTACACGAGGGCTTTTCGGGGACGGTCCGCGTCATTTTGAACCATGGTCAAGTGACGTGGACGACACCTGAGCTGGCACCCCCTCTCCTAACTACCACACCACACCAACGGGTGGACGTTTTGGCTCTCGACAGATTTAACGTACATCACTCCCCTACACGGTGGGTCTTCAGTGGTACTGGGATCGAACTCATGACACGCTAGCCACGATCTGATGCCTAGACCACTTGGCTACCGCGGCCACACCCTAGGAATGAAGAGAACATTTGATATGTTATTCCATTGACACAAAATGAAACAGAACAAAATTAATTCCATTTCAATTGAACACTGAAATTATAGTACTTAGCACGATTCTTCACCGAAAACAAGATTTCCAAATCAACGACGTTTCAGCAAAGTTACAACCACGCTACAGTGAGCGATTCCAGCTAATACATGATAAGTAAAAATGAATACAGCGATTACAAACGGCTATAAATATTTAATGGAAAAGAATTTATCGAAGATTCTGGGTGACAGGTAGGCGGGATGAGATTTTAGTGTTTGTACGTGGTACTACTTGGTTTGTTTGTTGTCTTTTTTTTTACACTTAAATGCTTTTCACTTATACTTTGTTAGACCACTAAGAAATAGGTTTTGGCGATATATTTTCTTTCTATCTGGACTTTGGTAAGTTTACTAACTTCTTTTTTCCAAGTTTATTTTAACTGATGGAGATTCAAGCTGAGTCACTCCTCATTCCAGACAACGGAAATGTATGAGACAAGCTACATAATGACAGAAGCTGCAGATTTCAAGTATTATAAAAATTCCCAAACTGACCAAGAATTAATTTTTGCAAAATGGCCAAAAAAATTTACTGAAATCACAATCTTACTTGAGCACACAGAAAAATCAGATAGCATCCCTAAATCGAACCCCCCCCCCCTCTTACATGCCGAATTAAAGAACAATATACCTAGACCTGACAATATAACGCACATGTACTTTACTCGAAGCGACAAAATAAAAATTAGCACCTCGAACCCTGTATGGACTGTTCAAATAACAGCTATAGATCAAATTCTAAATACTCCGGTAAAAGCTAACATAATATGGGAAAGATTCACTTCGCGATTCCTATTTTTTGCTGTCCTAACTAACGTACATCTGGCAGAAGTGGCAATAGAATTTAAAAAAAAAAAACTCAAACGATCTGGAAATAGTTGAAATTAGAAGATTTATTAAATCAAACAGTCGACAAGAGAGAGGCTTCTCCTGTTTTAATTACAATTCTAAATATAAATATACCAGAGTGCGTAAAGCTCTGGTTTTTTTAACCATTAAG